GGGTGGAGAATGAAGAAATGAAGAGCATGCAACGCGTCGCATCAAAATTAACAATTCAAACTGGTAAGTACCTAAATATACGATCTTCCCTTTTTCAACCTCCCAACGGATGTATCCCCTTCCGTCACAAATGAAATATGCCCAACTTGCTCCGCAACCCGCACGTCACCCAGCATCACCCGAACATCCTTCAGCAGACGTGCCCGCGCTAAGCCATCCTGAGCAGACGCCGCAGATACTGGGGCGTACGGGTTATCTCGAGTATACGATGAGACATAGCCCAGGATATCTGGCGCGAGTATGATGCGCTTCAGAGCAAAACTGGCCAGCGCGAGGATCTGCAGCACGATAGATATCACGAGGAACACCGCAAACCAGGCACGGCTGTATCTGTACACCTCGCCAACGTACTTGACACCCCTGGCTTCCGTGGGCACAAAACAGTACATTGGGGGCGTCAATTTGCTGCAGTTACTTAGGCTTTCGTACACGGCCGCGTCTGTCGGGAGATATGTCCCACGATACATCTTCGCGAAGCTGGCTTGCCAGAAGGTGTTAAAGGCTATCTCTAGTCGTTCGGAGAGGACCTGAGGCTCAAGCTTCCAGAGATCCATGTCGATTCTACCGCCCTGGAAGATAAGGGAGGAGTCATTCATCCAGCGCTCGGTAAGGGTGGCGGAGTAGAGGTAGTTTGTCGAGCGCTCGCGGTCTGTGGCAGTGGGCAAGATGTAAAAGGTGTTGTTTATGTATAGGGTTAAATCTATGTTGACGTTGACTCGTGTTGAAGGACGCATTGCTATTACCTGGCATGACTTTGCCTTGCATTCGATTCGTGAATCGACGGCCAGGTTTCCTAGGGTGCAGTTCGAGAGACCCCATGTATGATTATTGCCAATTTTGGTTCTTGACCCGAACATGAACTTGGGGCGGGAAGATGGGTCGCCGCCCACCTCATCCGTCATATCTGGAAGTTGGTTTGCAAGATATAATATCATGGAGTGGCCCGGTCCGCTGCTAGCGTTGACCACATTATACGACAAAGCAGCGAGGTCTTCTTTTTTCGCAAGAATATTGTTGGCGCATTGGACGTCAAAGTAATGTGATGTCACGGTGAATGTCGTGTTACCTTCCGACAAGGGCTTTCCAACTGGAAGACCAAGAAGTGAGGTGAACTTAACAGTGGAATTCCAGTCTACCATCCGCCAGTCGTCAGGGCTCTTGCCAGTCTTCAACGAACTTATGTCAGGAATTTTGACATTCCCCCAATTATCCATGCCAGCGGATGCTGTAGTTTCAAAGCTCATCAACGACGACGTGTAAATAGATGTGATCAAATCTCCAGCACGGTTCATGGCGCTGGCGCCTACCAAGTCGGAATCCAGGATCGATGTAGGAGATAAGTACCAGTTTGTAGAATTGTACTGAGCCTCTTTCAACGTAGTGCTCAGAAGCCGTAGCCCAGCCTGACCTCCGATAGGGGATAGCGCCCAGATAGCCATAATCATTAATCCAACGTACCCAAAATCCCGTAGTAACATCTGCCTCTCGAAGGAGGAAAAGAAGGAGTGGCTTCCGATCAGCTGCTCTAACGTCTGCAAGTCAATTTCTTTTGTAAGCATTGATAAAATTATGGGATGATATAATATGGATAGGTCATACCCCCAGTCGGATTCCTCTCTCCGCCCTATAGGTGCCATATATTCGGAAGAAATAGCCCACCAGTGCCGCGAATACGATCGGGAACATGGTGGGAATCAAAGTCGTGGCTAAGCGTATTCGTTCGCCTCGTTTACCCCTCTCATCCCCGTCCAATGAAGTTGCCAGGAGGGCGATTGCTGTTTCTTATTGTTAACCATATCCAACAAAAATGGAGAAGAGTTTTCAGATTTGAGGCTTTAGAAACAGAGTGTAAATAGAAGGGAGAGGGAGAGGGGTTGAAGGGTTTAATAAGATATAAAGGACGAACCAATAAAAGCAATTGGTACAACAGCCAACAAAATTTCCCATATCGAGCTCATAATCAGATAGCTCTGTGCTTTGCTAAGGGTCACTGCATTCTGGCTTGAGATCCCATCACCACCCCCGCGTACTGGATTAAGAGAATTGTGCGAGCCATTATTGCCCGGGCTCACATGTGTATGGATTCCAGAAAGGGCGATGGCATCCCCGGAAAGTCGAGGTGAACTACCGTTGACAACGTATGTATATAGTGTCATTTCAACTTTTCGCACTCTCCCAGCTTCAATTTTGACTGCCAACGCATTGCGATGGAGTGTAGAAAGGCAAGCAAAGTTGAGAAACAATCATCACCGTCATAGAGGATCCCGTCAAAGGGTGATGATGCGCTAGTTCATATAAGAACGGCCCGGAGGGGGACTCCATCTGGCAGCAGATGTAATATGCTGCAAGGATATCTTGCTCTCACACGCTAAGCACGGTGTGTTGTTGGCGTCCCGAACTAATTCAGCTGTCAATCTGCATCACCTTCCACCTTTGGGGGCTAGATAACTTAAAACTATCTACATGGGGAACTGCGGTGACCAATGAGCTGGGCCTATTCAATGCTTGGTGGATGCTTCTTTTTGGCATGTTCTGTGCAGGCAATCAGGGGTAAGGCTGGGGCTGAGTTCAAGGAGATGACAATTGGATATCCAGCCGCCTCCCATGCTCGACAAGCCCTTGTCACTTGCCGTTGGATCGTCGCCTGTCGTTGGTAACTGAGGTTGTTCTGCTGAAGATCTATCTCACTATATTTGATTTCACGAACACCCCAGTACCTGCGGAAAAGTGATGCCCGGAATGCATGTCGTTAAAGAGTTTGGATTTCGGGCATGTTTCGTGCAATTTTTATCCATCTGGCCAGATGCACAGTCTCTAACTATGCTGGGCCAAGTCGGAAGATAAAACATAACTAAAATCTCACTCCCAACTTTCATTCAAGCAATCCTCCTGTCCTTGCACGGAAGTACTTGGCAAGCCGCAGAGATGACTTCTCACGCACCTCTGCGGGAGCTATCTTCTCTCTACTGATATTGACGTACCAGTGTTTTCTTCCCTAGGCTTTTTCAGATAATGTATGGCAAAAAGAAAATAAATAAGCAAATAAATAAAAAATAAAAATAAAATAACGGAATCCTCAGAAGATACAAGATGCCAAATGAACTGAGAATTATCCGAAAATGCAAAGGCAACTCGAAAAGCTAGAACTCCAACAAAACCAATTAAACAAAAGCCTGCCATGTTGCTTTACTTCTAAAGAACCATAAAAACAAAACAAGGGGCAAACTGTTAAACATGAGAAGAAGGCAGAAGCCAGAAAAAAAAATGATGGCCTGTCCGCCACCTCTTCGTGCAGGGGAGCACCAGAAGAAGACCAACACCTAAATCACCCACTCTAAAATAAAACCTTCCTGAATATCTAAACAAGTAATTGAGCTAACCGAAAAATATATATAATGCTCTTCAAAACCAAATCAAACACGGGATCGTAGCGTATACAAAACATAATTCAAAAACCAACCATTTCCAAGAAAAAGTTCCCAGAGCAGTTTGCCGCAACTCTTCCCCAAGGCAAATCCATCGTCCCCATAAACCCAGATTCCATGTATGCATAAGGAGTAATTAGAAATCTAGGCGCCCACCGCCGTAACAGCAAGAGAAAAAATAAATAAATAAATAAATAAATAACCCTCTATGGTGCGAACATCCATCCACCATTCTTCTTCAGCCGTTCCCTCTGCTCGACATCCCACTTAATTTCAGCCTGCGTCAAACCGTCCGGACCACCCCAGTTAGCACTACTAGTCCGATCGCGGAACCGTTTCAAACGGTCCTTGTTATCCTTGAAGATCTCCTCCATATGCAGCGGCGCAGATGGCCCAAACACTTGGGCTCCATCCTGCCCTTCCTGGCTAATGAGGATGTTAGTTAAGTTTTCGGGTTTAGCCCAATCGGGAACATTGTAGGGTTCCGCATCCGAGTCCTCGTCTTCGCTGTCTGTAAGGATTTCAGGAAGTTTTATGTTGTCGCCGTTGGGATATGAAGGGGAAGATTTGAGGGATATATGGGATTTCTGGGAGCTCTGCCCGGGTGTCTTGTGAGACATGGCATGTGGTGGGTTTGAGTTATCGGCAAACGGGATTCTGCCGCTGGCAAACTTAGACATTTCCAACGGGTGACCGTTTCTATGCGGCTGTAGCTGCATTGGCACAGCACCCTGGGGGGCGCGGGAAGCTGGAGGGTTCTTGAAAATGGCTTGGCCGCCCTGGTTGTACATCTGTAGCTTTGAAACCTCCTATCCAATGTCAGAACAATCTATATTTTCAAAGGAAACCACGTACCTTGCGGACATTAGATTGACGGATCGGAGGTGCCATTGCCGGCCGAACTGGTGGTTCAGCAATTACACTCTCGTCATCTGTTTTCCGTCGTTTGCCATCCGCCTGGTGCACAGCTGCTCCGACTTTCCCGGTAACTGGACGCCCTGAACTTTCATCCTCTAATACTCTCTTCGGAGGCTTGGCGGGGTTGGGATGTGGGTAGTTCATTGGTCGAGCTTGCCCTTGTACACTATTTAGCCTTGGCCCTTTTAAGGATGATAGATCTTTCCGCTGGTTCCCATGCGATCCGGACTTTTCTTGATGAATGGTGGAGCCCTGTAAACCCTTTCCAATTAGCAATCATAGAGCGAAGGACGATGAGAAAAATCAAACCCACCAGATCATTGGCAGGTGTTGGCTGCTGGTTGCGCTGCTGCTCCAATTTCCTTGCATTCTCTAGTCGCCGCTTTTCGATTGCTTGTTTGTGGGCAAGTTTTTTCGGATCCTCTGGTACCGATCGCTCCCGTTCCCGTCGGTCAGCCTCAGCCCAACTAGTTTGTTCTTGTCGACGCGCTTCTTCCTGTTGTTGGGCTACCCGCATGCGTTCGGCTTCCCGACGCTGTTCTAACTTTCGTTGGGCTTCACGCTGCTCCTGGAGGATCTCAATTAGTGGTTATCGTGGATCAAAATTTGCTAGTTACTTGCCTCTTTTTTCTCGGAAGCCTGGGCAGCTTTCAATTTAGAGTTCATCATAGAAGTGGAAGTCTTGAAGCTACTGGTAGACGAATTCGCATGCATTGACAGTTGGCTTCCTTTTTTATTAACAGCCGACAAGAGTGCCTTTGGGGCTGGAGGCGGGCCCGGAGTTGCATCTGGGGCACTGGACGAGAGAGAGGAATTGGTCAATGGAATGCGCTGAGAAAGAGTTCCAACACGAATAGACACAGGCTGCGGTTTTGGTTTCTGGGTTTCTCTAGTAGGTCTCAATGGCCGCCGGCTTTCATTCTGTTTAAAATGATGCTGGGGCTTCGCAGGAACAGCAAATTTATGCTCCTCTTCCTGGATTTGTTCGGGTTCACGTAAAGATTGCTGCGTTGGAGGTCTCCTGGGACTAGATCTCATCGCATGGGTCGCTGGGGTTGCCACAGTCTCTTCAGATTTTGGAAGTGCTTGGTGTTGCGACACATCCTTGATCATGGTTGTCTTTTGTTGCCTCTCCTGCTCCCTAGCTTTTGGCAATTGTTCCTCAATGAGCTCCATATCCTGGCGCTCTTTCTCCTTTCGCTTCTCCTCCCTCTCTGTAGAACTTCGCGTCCGTCGACCTTCCTGGAATATGGGGCTTTGGATAGCAGCAGGCTGTGGGGCTTGTGTGAAATTCTCTTGAAGATTGGGGTAGAGATTGGCTTGCGTACGGATTGGGGTAGGAGAGAATGTTTCCATTTTTGCAGCTGCAGAAACACCGGCGCTGCTTGTAAATAAACTTTTTGCGGTTTTCATGATGGATTGTAGTTTAGATTTGGAGGCACTTAGAGGGCCATCATCCCTTCTTGGGGAGGAGACAGGCGTAAGAGATTCCCGGTTGGATATGGTTCTCTGAAGGCCAATAGTGTTGGCTCTTGGAGAAGTAATTACCGAAGTTGAAGCCGATTTTGTGTGGTAAATGCCAGAGCTGCCAACAGGCTTCAAGCCAGGAGACCGTCTCTCCGGCGATTTACTATACATAATCCTGGATATCCTCTCCTCGTGAGTTTGGACACGGGGAGGTTGCTGTGGAGATTCCACTGTTGGTTCTCTTGCGGACTGTGGCTGCTGAAAATGCTGCGGTGATCTTGGCGGTGCTGTTCGGTTATCGCATACTTGAGGCTCTACGGGTGATGGCTTTCTTGGTTTATCGGCAACAGGATCAACCTGTGACAATAGCTCGGGATATAACACTTGAGAAGGAGCAATGGGAGCAGGGGCTGGAATCGATTTGGTATTCCTTGAGGGCTGTGACTTGCCGAGCATGTTGATCTTCTCGTGCAGGAGCTGCGTGGATGACTTATTATGAAGATTTGTAGCCTTTGTACCGAGATCGGATTCATCAGGCAGAAAAGAAGGAGCACGTTCTTCCTCAGGCGTCGTATTGTCCCCAGTATTCCCTCGTTTGTCTTGTTCTTCCGGTAAGATTTGGGTAATTCTTGCGCCGCCAGTTTGGCGTCCAAAATAAACGCCTGGAATTGATTTGGAGGGGTCAATATGGCTGATTCTAGACATTCTAGCTCCTCCCATGCTTCGTTTTGTTGTCAGTGGCTCCCGAGCCGGTAGGGACGCGAAACTCAAGCTACTTTTACGAACAGGAGGGCGGTCTGGAGTTGAGCCATCAGAAGGAGATCCAATATCATCAAAGTTATGATCAAGGGCGGCATCGTGTACGTCGGAATCTGGCTCAATTGTGTTGGCTGTTTCAGGTGGTGTGAAATCAAATCTTTCTGTTAGTTGGACTGACTCCTGGGATGGCTGCGGAGACGCGCTGGGAGGTTGCTCAGAAACAGCAATTGGTGAAGATTTACAATCATCAGTCTCCATTGGTTCCACTGTGCTGCTCTCTTTACTTGGAACAACTTCTCTAGCTGAGTGAAATGAAGCATCGGTTGTACGCCGGTCAACAGATGGACTTATATCATTGCGGTCGCGAGGGACGACAATGGTTGAGTCTTCCAGAGGCTGAGCAGAGGTTTCTAGTTCGAACTCCGGATCCCGCTCTGGTTCCGGTGACCTCTCTGGTTCTAACGCTGCTTCCGGCTTTGTTTCTTCTCCCTTCAGTTCTTGTTCAGTAGTACTCCCGGGTTCTTTCTGTGATTGTGAATAGACCAAATCCATTTCATCATCATCTGCGATTTCCTTCTCGTGAGTCA